CTTTTGCAGATATTTTTCCAATTTTTCCAACACCATTTGTTAAAAAGGCTGTCGTTTCCCCACTTCACTGATTTCATCTCCTTATCAAAAATCAGTTGACCATAGATAGATGGGTTGATCTCTGGATTCTCAATTCGATTCCATTGATCTATGTGTCTGTCATTGTACCAGTACCATGCACACAAAGACTTCTTAAGGAATCCCATGTTAGGTCACAGAGTGTGTACATCTTCAAATTTACTTGAAAATATCTCAAGGTTGTCAAAACATTTTTATTGATTTACCACCCTTATCATTGTTCTGGATCGTGGTCAACATTTGGTACTGACTGACATCAATTTTTTTTACCAACATAATGAGTGTCATTTTTCACTGTGACTTTCAGAGTTGAGTATCTTTTTAAAAATTTTTTTTATTTTATTATTTTGTGTGTGTGTACCATCAAATCAGATCTGACTGGTACAGGAGGAGATGGCCCCTCCTTCTCCAGCAGAACATTTGGTGGATCCTAGAGTTAAGTATCTTTTTATAGGTTTATGGACTAGGCTGCTTTTCTTTACTGTCTTTTACACATTTTGGTGTTGTTTTTCATTTACTAATGATTAGGAGTGTTTTTTTTTTATTCTAGGTAAAAATAATTTCATATACATGTTGTTAAGTACCCTTGAGTGGACTATGATTCATAGTGACCCTATGAAAAACAGATCTGAATCCTACCCTATTCTGCACCATCCTCACAGTCTCTCCAAGCCCATTGTCATGTTCAAGTCCATTTTGGTAGTCACTGTGTCAGTCCATCTTGTTGAGGGTCATCTTCTCTCTTACTGATACTCCACCTTCCCCAGCATGAGGATTGATTCCGCCTGAGAATATGCTCAAAGTAAGAGAGTTTAACTGTCTTTTTGTCTAATGGACACTGGTGATTTCCTTCGAGATAGATTTGTTCTTTTGGTGTCCATGGTATATTAAGTACTCTTCACCAGTATCACAATTCAAAGGTATTTTGGTCTTCTTTGTTCATCTTTTAGGTAGACAGAAACAACTGAAAAGATCATGGTTTGGATCAAATACATCTTAGTCTTTAAACTGACAAAGGCTCTTTAGCACTCTAGAGAGATGCTTGACAACAGGTTTTCCCTGAGCAACATGTCTTTTGATTTCTTGACTGCTATTAGCATGGATGTTGGTTGTGGATCCAGTGAAACAAAATGTTAAAAGCTTAAATGATGTTCCCTATTGGTCCAGTCCTTGAGGTGTAAGTCATAGGCTCTAGTCTTCAATCTTGTATAGAAAGTGCTTCAAGTCTTCTTCACTTTCTGTAAGCAGGGTTGTGTCATCTGTATAAGGAAGGTTGTTGATGAGCCTTCCTCCAATCCTGCTACCACACTCGTCTTCATTTAGTCCAGATTCTTGAATGATTTGCTTAGCATAGAGATTTAAGAGGTTGAGAGAAAGGATATAACCTTGTTGCACATCTTTCCTGATTTTAAACCATGGAATGTTCCCTTGTTCTGTCAATTTGCTATACTGTGGTGGCTTGTATGTTACTGTGATGCTAGAAACTATGCCACTGGCATTTCAAATACTAGCAGGATCATCCATGGTGGACAAATTTCAGTGGAGCTTCTAGACTTAGAAGCAGGACTGGCTATCCACTTCTGAAAAAAACAGGCCTTTGAAAACCTTATGGACAGTGATGCACATCATACCGTTAGGTGTTGAATATGTCTTCTCCATTTATAACTTCTCTTGACACTGATTTATAATTGTTTTGTTGAACACAACTTCTTAATTTTAATTAAGAGTTTACCACACATTAAACTTAATAATAACATCATAGATTTATCATTCAGCCATCAATTTACATCATGCTGGGGAAAGAAAAGGATTATTAGCAAAAGAGGAAGACCCTACAAATGGATTGGCACAATGACTACTTCAAAGGGCTTGAGTATGGCAGAAATTGTCAGGTTGGTGCAGGATAGGGCAGAGTTCAGATCTGCTGTTCAAAGGGCCACAATTAGTCTTTGTCCACGTGATGGTACCTAACAACAATATCCATTTACTCCTTTATTAAACAAATATTAAAGTCACATTTTGTGTGCTAGATACCATACTAAGCATTGGGGAATATAGCAAGTTACGCATGAGCCCATACTCAGCGACTTTTAGTGTTAGTGGTGGGGAAGGTGTGGTATAAACAAAAAAGCTTCAGAAGAAAAATATGAGAGCATTTATTTGGGGAAAATCTCCTGTCAGGGACCTCTCCAGAGTACTGAAAAGCAACAATGTCGGTCTGGAGACTAAGTGCACCTAATCCAGGCCAAAGTGATTACAATTACTTCCTTTGCAACCGAGAGTTGGACAGCGATTAAAGATGACAGAAGTGGGAGCGCGGGGGGGGGGGGTAAGAAATGTATAATAGTGAATGAATGAATGGAAATCCAAGTTCTTTATAAACTTTAATTAAAATCTCAATTAAAAAATAAAAATGACAGAAGAAAAATTGATAACCTTCGAGTTGTACTGGAAAAGAGTCTTGAACATACCATGGACAGTGAGAAAACAAAGATCTGTCTTGGAGAGGTTTAAATGAAGTTTCTCCTTGGAGGGTAGGATTTTGAAGCTCCATCTCACATACTTTGGGCATGTGACCAGGAAGGACCAGTCCTTGGAGAAGGAAGGACATCATGCTTGGAAGGGTGGAGGGACAGCACAGGAGAGGAAGATCCTGGGTGAGATGGATTGATATAGTAACTAGGGCAGTGGGAATTGACGTGTCTGAATTAATGAGACTGGCTCAGGACAGGGCAGGGTTCAGAGCTGTTCTGCTGTATAGAGGGTCACTATGGGTTGCTGGTTACTCAACAGCACATAACAACTACATGGGGATATTTAATTCCTTAACCTTTGTTGAGTTATTAGAAAAGTAACATTTGAATTGATTCTCAAATAATAAGGAGTTATGAAAATTTTGGAAAAACATTCCAAGAAGAGAGAAGAACATATATGAAAGTCATTACTGTTAAGAATCTTGGAGAAAATTGGGAATTGAAAAAGAGCATAGTGGGTGAAAGGAGTTGAGACTTAAAGGGATAGCAGGTACCTATAATGCTGAATCATAAGAACAGGTAGCCTAGTCCTTAGAGAGTTAAGCTGCTGACCTTTCTGGTGACGCACCAGCGCAGGGTTTCCTGATGCAATTTTCAGTCAGTAGAAGGTCACTGTGAGTTGAATTTGACTCATTGGCAGTAAATGAGTGCAGAGATGTTTGGAACTGTTGAAATTTACACAGAATATAGTGAAATAATATTGGTTCTGGGTAGATGCTTGAGATTCCTGGAGCCTGATACCATTAAGCCTTAGAATCTTAATCATTTTACTTTTATACAATTACTTGTTTATTTAGCCATCTAATTTGGGTTTTCTCAGTCAGAAGTAAGTGATAATTTATTGAAATTTATTTTCTGTATCTGTGTGTGTGTACGTGTGTGTATGTGAGAGCGGTAGCAAGAGAATATAGCAATGAGAAAATTAGCCAAATCTATTGTACAAGTTTATGTATTCTAAAATCTTATAAATACTTAAACTGCTGTTAAGAACTATATATTTTCAAGTTATTTTTTAGATTCTAAGAAATCACAACAGATTTATAAAAGAATTTACTTTAACTCCTAAATTTCCCAGTTCATATAATAATTTATATACTATTCTTAGTTATCTTCCCCCCTTTATTCTTAGTTCTCTTTATACCACAATTGTTGCAGTATACAGTTTTACTTACACTATCATTGTCTTCAGAGATTATTCCAATTCTGAATTTTCATTTTAATAGTTAATTTATCTTAATCCTTAAATATAATATTTAATGAACATCTTGCTACATAGAAGGTATGCAAAAATATGTTAATCAGAATACCTTTTGAAAATTTACTTTCTAAATCCTTGCCTTTCACCTAAAATTTATATTCCTTTTTTCATACTAATTTTTTTTCCTTTATAGTTTTCTCCTAGAAATATTATTACTCTTTTTCTGATTTCCCTCACATGGAATCCTTTTTTTGGGGGGGATTTTTCTTTTCTTTTTTAAAAATTATTATTAAATTTTATTTGTTTTAATGAACATAATCCTTTTTTAAGATTTAGGTGCCCTATATCTTTTTCTCATTACTCACAAACTTGTTTTGTATTTTAAACCTTATTTGTCTGTTTTCTTTTAGAAAATGACATTCCTTGCTTCTCACTAGAACTATCTAATAGTGACCTCATCTGTAGGGAGTTGAAGTCCATGTTCCTCAGACAGTTGGTATCCACCAGCAGTACCATAGGATAAAGATGGGCCATTGTTTCCTGAACAGTTTACAACTATGAGTTGATTCTGACTCTGTGGCAATGAGTTGCCCTGAACTTGGGGATTTTAAAAATTTTATATTGAATTATTCAAAATGGGTGAGCCTGCAGGACATTATGCTGAGTGAAAGATCTCAGTCGCAAAAGGACAAATACTGCAGGGTGCCACTGCTGTAAAATGGGACTGATATCAGGGTTGGGCTAAGACTGAGAAAAACTGGATAAATTGTGTATACTGCACTGAAACAGATGAGGGAGAGAATAATTTAAAATCAGTGTATGATAGGGTATTATGGTTATCACAAGAGTCCACAATTAAGGTTGCTTAGTGGAATGTACTTGGGGTGGTGGGAGGGGTATGGGGGGATTGTGTACCAGGGAGGGAGTGTTT